TTGCACTTTAGTGCTTTTCATTATGATAGTGCACTGGTCTTCCTGCTGTTGCCTGAGTTTGACTCCCAACAGAAGTTGGGAGTCAATTTTATACACACACGGTCTCTGCCTCCCTCCTTCCTCTTGCACAGGGTCTGGAGAAGGTCTGCAAAGGTCAACAGTTCAAGTCTCCCCTGCTCCTGGAACTGGAATCAGAGAATGAGAATGGGACTCGGTCCCCGACCTCCAAGAGACCTCGACTCTCCTCCTCCTAGCTGCGGGTCGCCCCTGTTATTATTCTCTATTGCCCTCCAACTGAAGTGACGTTTCACGGACAGCCTTCTATTGTCTATTTTGTACAGTTTCAATGAAATTTTTTCACTGGGATCGAGCTGGGAACAACTAGAAAAATTGCCCAGCAAAGCGAGGCCACCTAGTTTTCTACGTCAGTGACTGATGTGTTATGTCTATGCCAATACGTATGCATGCACTAGAGCAGTGCAGATGTACGTCGCAGTCCCGTTTGCATATAATCGCCCCAGAATATTGCATGCACCATGTTGAGCCACACCCACTAGTATGTACAAAGCAACGGTCTGACGTCAAGCTTGATCTCAGCTGCAGGTCGACCAATCAGATCACAGAACATTGTGTTATGATTTTCACCTCACATTCACACAACGGGCCACTGATTCTAAAAAAGTTGGGACTTGCATTATGTCTTGCCCCGTCATGCCTGATACACTGCTTGTGCTCATGGACGCTGCTCCACTGGCTATATAGCACAATGTAGGAAATGCGCATGGTTTTAAACAGATGGTTCATTGGCAGTGAATGAGGTGTGAGGTGAAAATGTAGTGGTTCATGGTGTCCAGTTGATGAGTGGGTCAAATATCAAGGTCATCATCAGGATCTGAGTCGTCATAGTCATCAGCTTCATCTGGTGTGTAGAACACCCTCCCTGACCCTGCCTGCAGGGAGAGAGAGAGAGAGAGGTGGGAACCCCTTTAATCTTGAGACCAACCAGAATGTAGTGAGGTGCTCTTATTTTAGGGGCTAATGCATGCACAAACTGTAGCTGGGAATAGAAAAGGGGATAGGTGTCCTTTGAGAGGGGTTACCAAGGAGTGGAGAATAACCTAATATATAGGCATGTGTAGATGGGTCTACAATTAATGTATATACGGTGCATGCATGGTCTGTATTCAAGAGCATCTCCGAACAAGGGACACTATGGGGCCAACGATATTGTCCCTTGTAGAGAGGCCGTCCCTATCTCGGGGGTCAAATAATACACTAAAGTATTGGCATTGGGTTGAAATAAGTGTCCTTTGTAGAGAGGTCGTCCCTATCTAGGAAGGTCCCTTATCAGAGGTTCCAATCAGACCTCACCGATAACATAGACCATGTTGCTAAAGGGTCCTAATAAGGGGTGGCGCTCACCTGCAGCAAGGCAGTCTTCTTCCCGGCTGAGTGATGATACGGCAGAACCAGCTTCCTGCGCTCCTCCCTTTCCCTCTCGCTCAGAGTGAGGTCAAAGGTCAAGTTTTGGGTGGGGTCTGGTACAGGGTGGGAGGGTGTGAGGAGCGAGGAGGTGACTTGTGGAGATGATGTCATATCGTAGCTATCGTCCATGGCAACCACTTCAGTTGATACCAGAACTTTTCCCGTGGTCTTGCGGTGTTTAACTTTGACCTTCAGTTGACCTGTGAGGACAAACTGACCACACCCCCTGACCACACCTACTCACACCTGGCGACTGTGGAACCACAAGGTCTATAGTTGTGGACATCACATGATCCACTTGTGATGTCACATGACGACCATGGAGGTCAGAATGCAGCAGACACACCACCAAACCACACCTCCTTCCTGTGACGATAACCCCTTGCTCACTGGATTATTGGTCGAAGCATCCGGATAAAGAACCCTTAGGATATTGAAAGTGTCCCTTATTCAGAGGCATTCCTCACTCGGAGGTAAAACAGTATATACGTACACTGAGGAATAAAAGCATTAAAGTGCAAACCCTTGGCGAACTGTGCATGTGCGGTACCACTAATAAGATGGGCTGGGTTTTTAGTATGCGTTTACTCGTGGTCTCCCGCTAGTACTTAGCTCGCGGAGAGTCTGACACGGACTACTAGCTACAGTAGCATGCGGGAGTCGATACACACGTCGAGGTAAACCTGTGCTAATTTGCATATTGGCCTTGTTCACTTGCTTCTCACGCCATAACTTTTGAACATAGTGGTTAGACAAAAATCGCCTTTTTAAAAAATGAAGCCAGTGTAACGCTGAACCCGTTATCGCTGTTTTGTTGTCTTGTTGCGCAGTCGCAGAAAACGTGGTAACAGACAGACAGACACAGTTACAAACCAAGTACTATAGCCCTCGCTGGGCATGCGCACCAAGGGTTAATTATTATTATGGGGCAACCATAAGTCTCCTTTATACAGTGGAACCTCCAAACAAGGGACAATACGGGACCAACAATTTTTTCCCTTGTAGAGAGGTCATCCTTATCTTGAGGGTCCCTTATCAGAGGTTCCACTGTAGACCTTCATTACGAGGGTCCTTATTCGGAGGTATATACAGTATCCCTCTTCCCCCACCCACTCACCAATTTGGTGTAGGAGACGGCACACATGAGAGGTAGGGTGGAACTCCAGTAGAGTCGACAGAGAGTCAATTATCACCGGACAATCAGGGGGTGTGGCCTCTCCCATTGAGCTGAAGAAACTAGTGGGTGTGGCCTCGTGTAACGGGGCGGGGCCAGAGCCATTTCTCCACCCGAGGTGGTCAGTGAAACAGTCATGGATGGTTAATCTGGAGTAGAGCATTCACACTCTCATATATTTAAGGATAGCTAGAGATTTTGAAGTTCGATCAGTCCGCAAAAATAATTATTCCTGGCAGCGAGAGCCTACACCTTTTATTTATAGGAAACGAGCTCCCGCAACTACATCCCATGAAGATAGGCTACAGGAGTGGGGAAATTTCATTCCAAGGGACACAGACACTGAAATGGAGAGCTGAGATTTTAATCTTGGAATCAAGTATCAGTGACAACTGATGGTCAAGTGAAAAACCTCTCTACAGAGGACACACTGTGACCATGTGAAGTAAAATAATGCACAAAAGTATTAAAGCACCAGACTTGCAACCAGTATCCTTGGTAGAGAGGTATCCTTCATTCAGAGCATCCTCATGCATACCACACATGCACCATGGACGGCTCTAAAGCTAGTTTCCACCAAAAGTTACTAATAGTTAGACCTTTGAAGAGGGTCCTGTGGGAGGCCTTGTGACCAGGTCTCGGGATGAAGGTCAAACAAGAAGACGTGGCAGGAGGGAAACCTGGGAAACCAGCAATCACAGAGCGGCAGCTAGAGTGGTGACGTCACCTTCTGAGACACTGCAGAGCAAACGCCTTCAGCAGCGGTCTCCCGTTCCTCTGACTACAGTCTGCTGCATGCAGCGACGGGAGATCACGTGCACGTCCCTCCAATAATATACTGCAACAGAACCTTGAACCAGGACAGACGGCGTCTTCTCTGTCCCACTCAGAATACCGCTTAGCAACCCTGCCATGCTGACGTGGTGCTCTCTATTTGGAATAATTTATCTCGGTCACGTGATCGCACAGCGAAAAGAGAGAGGAGCTAACCTCAAAGCTTCTTGTGTTTACAGACAAGAAGTGTGGGTGTTAGTAGGATGCATTCCGGAGACCTGACGGAGCTGGGCGGAGCCAACCTGACGGACGCCGAGAGAGAGGCGCTCCTGGAGGTCATGCAGCGAGCAAAGGTGGCTACATAGCCTGCTTCTCTGCATTCCTTTGTACTTATCACTGCCCAGGACTTTGACGATAAGGCACAGAGAGGCATGAACAGGTTAGTATGCCGGCACGGGACGGAGTATCTATTGTACGTGTCGGTGTACTGTATCACTGTAAGTATCTCCACCCTATTGTATGTAGTAGGTTGGAAGGTCAGCTGAGCAAGTGGACCAATGCTCTGAAGGGATGGCAGCAGCGGTGGCTGAGTGTGGACCAGCAGCAGGGAGTCCTTCACTACTACACTGTGAGCAGAGATATGGAGAGAGGTGGGAGAGAGAGGGAGAGAGGGGGAGAGATTAACTGTAGTCCGGTGTCCAGTTCACCAAGTTCAGCTGAGTAAATTTAGGTCTGCCAAAAACATATTTCTGAAAAGTGGTCCCCTCTGGTTTAGTCCATTGTTTGTACATGGTAACAGGCATGAGATTACAGTGGGCCCTAGGGCTAGGCTGGCAAAGGGGAGAGGTGAGTGAGAGTACTACCCTCGCTGCACATACACATGTGCAGAGGGTTAATAAGTAGTGACAATGGAGCCGTCGTTGGTTCCACGAAGTGTTTCTCTTTTGTCCTGCAGTCGGAGGACAGGAAGAAGGCTCCTCCCAGAGGCTCCCTCCATCTGTGGGGGGCCGTCATCGCCCCTAGCGACGAGGACTCCCATTCCTTCACCGTCAACGGAGCCAACGGAGAGGTCAGAGGTCACGAATAGTCTCGTATCCAGACCCCCCCCCACCCCTCAAAATAAGAGTGTGATGACAATTGAGCGTTTTTAGTTGTGCCGACTTATCATTAAGTGTCCTGGTACTGTTCATGGATACAGAGTTCACAGAGTTCACAGAGCAGACTTGCAATTGATAGCATAACATCGGCTTCACGCTGGTAGCAACATTAATATACTACTCCCTTGTGTCACAAAAACTCTCCAGTCAGAACAACTAGCCCCTTCCTCTCCTAAAGGCAAGGTCTGGGTAGGAGACTTAACATGATTCAACTTTGTCGTGTGACTCAGCACATCAGTGATCAACCATGGGACATGTTTCAAAAGCCTTCTCATAATGTATGTACACATTGTTGCATGGTCTATGATACCTATACATTTGAGGTTTTGTGACACTTTTCTCAAGTTGCAATGTGTGTTAGCATGGTCTAATGTGTGTTAGCATGGTCTAATGTGTGTTAGCATGGTCTAATGTGTGTTAGCATGGTCTAATGTGTGTTAGCATGGTCTAATGTGTGTTAGCATGGTCTAATATGTGTTAGCATGGTCTAATATGTGTTAGCATGGTCTAATGTGTGTTAGCATGGTCTAATGTGTGTTAGCATGGTCTAATGTGTGTGGTGTGTACAGGCCTACAAGTTGAGGGCGGCGGACGCCAAGGAGAGGCAGTACTGGGTCTCCAGACTCAGGAATGAGATTGAGAGATGTACAACTGTCCACTCTGGATACGTCAAGACTCAGGTCTTCCTCCGTGTCTGTACTGTATGTATTGTGTGTTCCACATGGTGGTGAATACAGTGGAACCTCTGATAAGGGACCCTCTGAGATAGGGACGACCTCTCTACAAAGGACACTTGTTTCAACCCCATGCTAATACTTAGTGTATTATTTGACCTCCGAGATAGGGACGACCTCTCTACAAGGGACACTTGTTTCAACCCCATGCTGACCTCCGAGATAAGGAGGACCTCTCTACAAGGGACAATATCATTGGCCTCATAGTGTCCCTTGTTCGGAGGTTCCACTGTACCTTATGAAAGGATGCTAGTACAGAGGGTCTGTCAGTTATTGTATGCATAACATGTGGACCTCATCAACAAAGTCACAAGGCAAAGGCATTCAACGAGATGGTGATTTTCTTTTTTATACGCAAATTGCAACATTTAGGTTTTTTGAGAGATAGGATTTGCTTGGCATGTGTCCACAACGAGGTAGAAAGGCAAAGCTAAGAAGTCAACGTATAAGTACTTTCACAAATTCACAAAAGCATTGTCACAAGAATCAGAAATGTGGATGATTTGCTACAACGTCTGTCCCCAGGTCCATTTGCCCAGCACCACCTCCAGTCCTCAGCACACCCCCAGCACCGTCCTCTCATCCTCCCCACTCTCACCTGTCACCACAACCACCACTCCCCTCTCCCCCTCCTCACAAGTGACCACACCTACCAGGAAACAGTCCCGCTCCAAGGGGCGTGGCCTCGCTGCCTTAGCCTCTCGAGCCAGTCTGAAGAAGAGGTCATCAAAATCCAGGTATATACACTTCCGAAAAGGACCCTTTGAAAAGGACACCTCTCTATAAGTGACACTTGGGTCTGCCCCATACCAACGTAGAGGTTTTGCAATTTTCCAGAAGTCGGCCATCATGGAGAGCTTTTGCTGCGTGATTTTCCCTCTGAGACGGCCGTCGTTGCTATAGAGACGTGTTACTTCCACTATAGTTCCATCTCAGGATAAAGGAAGCCTCTGAATAAAGGACACTTCCATGTCCCCAAGTTATCCCTCTTTTCCAGAGCCTTCACTGTGTTTATACCAGGGGTGCAAGAACATTAAAAGACCAGCGCCATAAGAGTGAAAACTCTGAATGTTCAAAACCTCAACAAATTTCTCCTTGAAAACGTGGCACTGTGCCGTATAATGTAGTCGGAAACTTCAACTTTTGCTGACAAGCGTTTTCTCCTCTATATATAATAATTTTGCTGGCTGGGTCATTTTATCGCAAGATAGGCAATCCACAGCATTTTTCTCAGCAAACTTCCTAACCAATTGCAAGTGTTTTCT